GTGTTATAGTTTGTGTCTGGGCGTCCACCTAAAGCCTCATGCAGTCATGGGGTGGGCTTTTAATCCAATGCTGGGATTATGGGTGTAAGTGCTATACCCGCCCTGGGGCAGATAGTTTGCACACAGTGTAAGGGAGGGAAAGAGACTGCTTACCCTCATTTCTCCCTTTTGCTCTTATTGTTTTTGCTGTGTTCCACCGCCATGAACACTTGCCCTCTGCCATGTGCCACTCTGCCTTGGAGCCAGCCAAGTATGGAGGGAAACCTTCACAAATTGTAAGCTAAATAAACCTTTCCTTCCTTCATTTTGGGCATGAGGTGTTTTGTCTCAGCCATGAGAGAAAAGTAACCGAGGCAGACAGAGTCTTACTATGTAGTTCAGGCTGGTGTCAAAATCACTGTGATCCTCCTGCCTCAGGCTTCGAGTGCTGGGATTACAGGCATGCAACACTATGCCTGGTGAAGATCAGGTTTTTGAGGAAAGGAAATGTGGGAGGAATTTTAAGGGAAGCTTTGGTTATTTCGAGTTTGCCTTCCTGAGTGACTTTCAGGTGAATGTTAGTGGAGTAAGGTTCAGAGGTCTGGGCTGGAGAGTCTGAGAGGAGAATCCTGAATGTGCATGTGAGAGTTGAAAACATGGGGGTGGATGAATGTGGATGGGTAAAATTGTGCAATAAGAAGCTCTATGCTGAGAAAGATGGAGGTACAGAGAATGAATTCTTGGACAACATTAATGCTTATAGAACAAAGACTGGAGTCAGTAAGCAGACTGATGAAGAGGAAGCAAGAAAAGAGAATGGTGTTGCTGAAGAGAATGGTGTTCCTGGTTGGAAGAAGCTGCCCAAGTGTCAACTCTCACTCAGATAAAGAGTGCAGAGATCTCTGGAGCAGAAGCTATAAGATATTGCTCATTTTCGCAAAGCCAATTTCTGTAAATAGTGAAGGTGGAAGATAAATTAGAGAAGATGAAGAAGAGAATTTGAGTTGAAATAGTGTTGAATGTCCTTTCCCAAAAGTGTTGTATGTAAAGGGAAGTTATTGTGATAATTTGTTAAAAAACAGTCCCCTCTTCTCTTCTCAGCTAATAAGGTTCTATGCTAACATCTGAAAGCACTTGGGTAAGAATCAGAACAATATTGGCCCACTTGGGCAACTGATCCTATTGGAGTGCCAACCTTTATACCTAGATGACCTGGATGAGGCACTCTTTCTTTGTCTTGATGACTTATTTAGTTGCTATTTTTGAAACGCTTTATGTTTACTCAATGCTATTTGATGAATAATTAAATTTGGAATTTTAGAAAACAAAAAGAAATAATTATACCATTAACCATTAATATAGGTATGCTTAATGATCTCTTACTGCAGAAATTCAGACTTAATTGCAGGGATATTTCCTCTTAGCACTGAATCCCTTATCCAAGTGTACAGGAGAATTTTAGTCATGCTCAGAGTCCTTTCCATTTTTCCTGTCCGGTTTCTGGTTAGTGTCAGCCCTGTGCTGGAATTCACCTTCTGCTTATCATAGTATAAGGGCTGCTGTTCTTAATACAAAAAGTTAGGTTTCTAATAGTTCTGTTGCTATTGCTGCTGAATTGGTATTTTTTTGATCTGTTAATTGTGTGGAGCGAGTTTCATTTACCATTGGATTAGTTATTTGTGTATACTGCAGCCACTTTGAAGAGGTTTCAATCTTCTTTTCCAGCTAGCTGTACATTTCCACAGGGTTACTGTGACATTTTCTCTGTGTCTATGCTGTCCCTGTCTTTCCCCTTGGCTTTTAGCCACTCAGATAAGCCTATGGCAGTTCTAATGTGCAGTATTCTGTACCTTAGAATACTAATATTCTAATGTATAATTAGAATTAACTAATACATGGCAGTTCTATATGTACCATATTCTCATGCTTTACTTATTTCATTGAACCTCTCTGCTTTCTGCAATATCTATATGTAGCTGCCCATATCTATATCTACATCTACATCTATATTTACATCTATCTGTGTCTATCTTCCTGTACCTCAATGTATACTTTTTTCTTAAGGGAAAGTTTGTTAGGGAAAATCGTTTACAGTTAACACAAAATAAGTTTTTCTCTGTATATTGCAAACTTAGAGCAGGTGTTATGGAACATATCCAGATCTAGATCAGTCACTCACAGTTACATTTTTGTTACAAGAACAGTAAAATCTATCTATTTAAGAAAAAAATTCCTTGAATAATAGTGATTTACTAATTTTGTTGTCATCAAGAAAACCATTTTAAGAAATTTTATTACTCTTATGAGAAACACACTGTACTTCATTTAGCATACTACACAAATGAATATATATCTACCCGCAATCAATAGTAGTGCATATAAACAAAAGATCATCAATGTACTACTAAGATAAAACATTGGAAGTTTGTTTTTCCATTGCAGTAATATGCAGTGAATCTTATTTATATTAAGACAATTAGCTTTTGAATGTACAGTAGAGTTCTAGTTTAGAATTAATTTGTAAACAACCTTTCATGTCAGCTTCTATTTCATTCATACTATGGCCAAAATCCTTGATATTTATCCTATAATAGGTTTAAGCCTCTATTATGGTTTGTGTCTGGATGCCCCCATAATGTCTTACACATTTGTTGGGCAAACTTTGAGAGTTTACCATTGGTCATGGTCCAATGCTGGGACTATGGGTGTGAGTGCTACACCCATCCTAGGGCAAATAGCCTGCATACAATGTAAGGAGGGAAAGAGGCTTGCTCTCTGCCACTCCTCCCTTTTGCTCTTGATGCTTTTGCTGTTCTCTGCCACCATGAACTGTTGTCCTCTGCCGTGTGCCCCACTGCCTTGAAGTCAGCCAAGTATAGACTGAAACCTCCACAGACTGTGAGCTAAAGAAACCTTTCCTTCCTTATTTTTGGGCATCAGGTATTTTGTCTCAGCAGTGAGAGAAAAGTAACCAAGACAGCCTCCTTTTACTTTTGGCAAAAGCTTCACAAAGGAATAATCACGAGAGGGAAAGAAAACCTGGAAAGAATTGTAAACTTGGTACTGTTTAAAACTCTTTAAACTTTATCCCTGTATTAAATTCAACCACTAGCAAAGCTCATCTGGTCTTCACATAGTTACAATTTCATGTTGAAACCTTTAGCTCTTTTCTCTTTTATGAATGAGTCTGCTTTGAAAGACCAGATGCACTATGTTGCCCAGCAGTTCATGCAAAAGCCCTTGTGACAAATACCTCTCAGAGCTGAGAATCAGTGAAGAAATTCTTTGATGAATTAAAGTGTCCTGCTGCTAGGTTTCGAGTGCTATGTAACCTGTTCTGTTTGTGAGTTTATTTGTCTGTTCTGAGCCAAGTATAAAGCTGTGTCTTCAACTGCTGTGGCTTTTCTCAGAGAAGATGATTTTTATATAAAAAGAACAGTGGCATTTGCAATTTTCTGTTCTTTTCTAGCAATTTCTTAGTCTTAAAAGTTTGTTTTGTGTTTTTTTTTGTTAACTGCTTTAGCTGAAGAATATTTTTTATGTTCTTTTTTGTGCTCAGAATTTGTCCAAGCTTGACCTTTTGTTTTTTTTTCCCAAATCTCTGTCCTTTCCGAAGGACCCTCTCCTTTCCCTGTCTGAAGCACTCACCAGAGCTGTCACTGACACTAGCCTTGAACTACATTAGGTAAATGGACTACATGAATATTCCACACAAGTGTCTTTCCAGGCCATGTGCTTAAACATCCACTATGCTTAGATTTTATATATCTTATATCAGAAATATCAGCATATTTAATATTGGTAATATTTTTATATCTTCCTATTTCCTTTTATCTGTCTTTCATATTGCTCTTATACTTTGGATTAATCATATGAGAGAAACCTCATGGTATTTAGGTTTATGTGTCTGATTTATTTCACTTAACATTAAGTTTTCAAGCTATAGACATTCTTCTACAATTGACTCAAATGTGTCCTTCTTTATTTTTATTTTTTATTTTTCCAGTACAGGGAACCGAACTCACAACCTCGCACTTGCCAGGCAGGTGCTGTGCCACTGAGCTAAATCCCCAGCCCCTGTATCCTTCTTTATAGCCAAGTAGTATTCTACTCTTTATTGGTATCAGATTTTCTTTATCCATTCTTCTGTTGATGGACATCTAGGCTGCTTCCAAGATTTACCAGTTCTCCAAAAGTAGAATGTGATCACTGAACACCTTTTAAAAAGTTTTATAAATGCATTAAGCCACTGATTTTCTTAATCATTTTCTCCAGTGACAGAAATAATATGCATAGTATTTGTTACTGCTTTCTGTTTTATAGCATTTCTAGCAGCATTTATAATTCTGGAGTAACCAGAAAGCATGTGAGGTGAGTGTCCATTATTGTAAGGATGCTGATCGTAATCAATACGCTGCCTTCCAGGACATCTGCTCATTCTGGCACTGGGAAATAATCACAATTAATTTGATCCTTGGGTATGATTGTTCTTTTTCCACTTTCAAGGAATCTTACTTTTGAACTTCAGAAGGAATTGTGAACTTATTTGAGTGAATAGATGGTGATTGGAGGGAGGAAGAGAGAGAGGGAGAGAGGGAAGTAGGGGGAAAGAGGGGGGGAGGGAGAGAATCACATATCAAGAAAGCTGTGTTTGTACTTTTTGAATTGCCATGTGTGGCATAGTTCTGGAAACAGTTCATATTCTAAAGTTACTGGGAAAGAATTCTGAAACACTTATTTTTAGACAAATGACATTGTAATGCACATAAAACTTCACCATTTACAATTAAAAGCTGCCAGACCAGATTTAACATCAATGAAAAAAAATTACATTCTTTCCTCATTTTAATCACGCTATTCAGTTCTGTTTGTGTACCAAACAAAGACTGTTAATACCTCACTTCCACAGTCACTGAATTCTTTTTCTATGATGAATGTTTGCAATTAAACTCCATTTACACACTTGGTTAATAAGATTACAAAAAAATTACTCACATTTTTAATTGATTTTTTTTTTGCAGGCTTGAAAATACCTAAGCAAATTAATTATGGTCAGTTGGAAGCATTATACCACATTAGAAGTATTCATCACAGGTGAGTTATTCGTGCATTTCTTTTTCTGTCATTGAAATGAATATGAATATGCTTGTTTTATGGATAAAGTATGGCAATAAACCATTTCTGACTCTCATAGGTGTCTGATTTACTGCACAGATAAAAACACTTGAAAACCTGGAGATTATTTCTTCAGATGGAAGGGGCTGAATATATGTCATATTTTAAGGAAACAATTTAGTGTGGAACAAACATAACTCATCCTGCGCTGGGCCTTTTTTTTTTTTTTTTTTACAACTTAAAAAGCAGTCATAGGGAAAAAAAAGGTTTAAATGGCTGAAAACTCAAATATTGACTTAAATAACTATCTGAGCAGTACGCCGGGGATCTTAGTTGAAATACTTCCCAGGGAACTGGGAAATATCATTGTTCAGAGATTAGGATTCTTAAGATTTGCAATACTTGGAGGTACAATTTTAAAAATCTATTTTGGTGGCAAGTCCTTTCCTTGAGTTGTATTTTCAAAATTATAAAACTGGCTATTTTCTCCCCTACCCATCTATGTTAATCCACTCTCCCACCTTCATTCAGCAATGCGACTGTGTCTCCTTATTATGGGATTATTGAGAAAATACCACAGGTTTACAGATTTTCACTCCCTCTTTTATAACGTCTCTAACTCACATTCTCTCTAGCACTTCAAATTATCTCATTATTTTCAGGTGTCTTCCCATTTCTTCTTTTTTTAAAGAATGTGGGCGGGATTCGTTGTTATTCCTTGGATTTCTACCAATTTGTTTTTTAACTTTTACACTGCTCTCTTCTCGTTCCCAGTGTCCTTCAGCATAGAGAAAAGTGAGTTACATATGTTTAAAAGTAAGGTTTCCTGGTTACCCGCTGTGTGTCCCTGGAGTTGCTGCTTAATTTCCCCGACTCCGCACTTGTGAATTGATGGTAAACGTACGCTTTTCCAAGGATTATTTGGACAATTAAATGAGCTTATATGTATAAAAACAGTGCCTGGCACTCAATGAGAATTCTAGATGTGTATTTTTATGATTGTCATTATTCACAAAAGCTCCTCCAAGGTTTCAACTGTACTTAAAATTTTTACTATAGAAGTTCTGCACCTATCTCAGATGTTAGTTCTTTCTATTAATGCCCAAGAATCTAGTTTGGGTTTCAAAACTGAATGCTCCCTTTTGCTTTCTTTTTTAAAAATTCAGTTCATTGGTAGAATTTAGAATAATCACATTCATCATAGGGAATTCATAGCCCTACTTGATATATCTCTATTCCTCTTTTTTTCCCCATTTATCTCCCCTCCCTTTAATCCTTCTTCCCTAAGCTTTGCCTTCATTTTATCCTCCTTTTCTCATTTTTAAAATTTTCTCTTTCTTCTTTTTCCCCTCTCCACTCTCTAGTTTCTCTTCCCATTTGGACAATTTCTTCTTATTTCACAATATCTATTATACATTTTGGTCCTCATTTACATTTCTAGTTTCTCACACAAGAGAGACAATGTGGTGCTTATATATGTGCACCTGATTTATTTATTTCACTTAAGGGTGTAGTCTCAAAATGCATCCATTTACTTAGAAATGTCTCAAGCTTATCCTTCTTTATGGCTGAGTAATAGTCTATTGTATAAAAAAACACATATCTTCTTTATCCATTCATCGGTTGATGGGCATTTAGGCTGTTTCCAAGATTTACCTACTGCAAACTGTGCTTCTTTTAACATGGGTGTGCATATATCGCTGTGGTATGATACTTTTAATTATTTGGGGAAGATTCCAAGAAGAGGAATATGGGACCGATAGTCTTAGTTTTTTGAGGATCCTCCGTACTGATTTCTACAGTGGTTGAGAGTCTACACACACCCGATCTAGTCTGATCTCAGAAGCTAAGCAGGGTCAGGCTGGTTAGTAATGGATAGGAGACTTTTTGTTTTGTTACTCATTTCTTTTTCCAATGTGTTTCTAGATTTTTTATTTCTTAGGAAGTTCATAATAAAAGAGATGTAATCATCTAGGTTTGAGTTTGCCAAAGTATCCATTCTAAATAAAATGTACAACCTCCTTCTTCCTCTTCAAAATGTGTTAGATTCTAAACTTTTTCTCCTATCAGAATAGAGATAGTAGATTGACACATTATGCTGAGATTTTTGATCAAGGGTAAAAGAAAAAAATTAATGCAAAAGGGAGGATGTTACTTTGGATTTCTAAATTACTGGGGCAAGATTTTTTATTCAAGCTCTGTGAAGGTAAGTTTATTTTATATACTTTATTGCTTCCTATCTCTTGACAGCATAGCATTCGATATTTTAAACAGAATTTCATTTTAATATTTAATAGAAATAGATATATTCTTTATGCTTCTAAATTATTCATGAGTTCTCTATGTTGATTATAAATAAAATTAGGATAGATATAGATTTATAGTGTGATTTTTAGTAGTGTCTAAAGAAGTAATCATATTAAAATATTTTCAATAGACAAACCACAATAATGTATATTATAGAGTAAAACATCAAATTATAATATGTATGAGGTTGTTCTCTTACTATTGAGTTGTTTGATGTAGACATATATTTGATATAAAATCCCTTATTCAAAAATTCAAAATCTGAAATGCTCCAAAATTCAATATTTTTTGAGTGACAACATGACACCACAAGTGGGAAATTCTATACCTGACCTTATGTAATGCATTGCAGTCAAAATGTAAGTGTACTAAAAATATGGTATAAAATTACCTTCTGTATAAAGAGCTATGCATATAAGGGGTACATGAGACAAAAATAAATTTTGTATTTGGACTTTTGGCCCATTTTTAGATACCTTCTCATATATATGCTAATATTTCAACATTGGAAATTATCCAAAATCTGAAGCATTTCTGATTCCAAGCCTTTCATATAAGGATACTTTGTGTGTACAGTGTGGAATGATTAAATTAAAGTAGTTAACTCTCTAGATTTACTTCTTCGTTTCCTATGGTAAGACCATTGGAATTTACTCTCTTGCCTATTTTGAAATTGGCAGCATATTATTTTTAGCTATTATCACCATGGTGAGCAATAGACTTCAAAAACTTATTTGTCCTGTCTAACTGAAACTTTGTATACTTTGATCAAAGTCTCTTCATTATTTCAATGGATTCTTTGCATTTTGCTACTGATTAGCAATACTGAACATTTTTTTGACTCCATGGGCCATTTGTATTTTGAGAAATGTCTGTTTAGATTCTTTGTCCACTTTCAAATGGAGCTATTTGTTTTGTTGTTATTGAGTTGAGTTCCATGTATATTTGGACGTTAACTCTTTATCAGACGTGTCATTTGCAAATATTTTTTCCCATTGTTGAAGATGCTTGTGTATATTTGTGTTTGTTCCCTGGGCTGGGTAGAAGCATTTTAGGTTGATGTGCTTCATATGTTTGATTTTGCTTTTGGTGGCAATATGCTTTCAGGTAATATAAGTAAAATTAATGTGCAGATCAATGCCACAGAACTTTCTTATTTTTCTTCTAATATTTTAAAATACATTTCAAGCCTCATATTGAAATATTGAATCTATTTGTGAAACATGGTCCAATTTACTTCTTCTGCATGAGGATATATAATTCTTCCAATACCATTTTATTGAAGGGCTTGTCCTTTGCTCTTTGTGTGACACTGTCATTTTTGTCAAAAAGTCAACAGGTTGCACATGTGCTTTTCTGCTCTTTCTGTCTGGTTTCACTGGTTCCACTATGTCTTACATTCTGCCTTTAGTGTGCTTTAATTAAAATAGCTGTATAATACATTTTGATCTACCCTAGCTTTGTTTTTCACTGAAGATTGCATGTGCAATTTGAGGTCTTTGTAGTTACATTTGAATTTTAGGATTTTTTTCTATTTCAGGGAAAAGTGCTATTGGAAATTTTAAAGAATTCTTTGAATCTATAGGTCTCTTTGAGTAGTATAGATACGTAAACAATATTAATTCTTCCACTCTGTGAACAAGGGGTACCTTTCCATTTATTTGTGCTTTCAACTTCTTTCACCAGTACAGTATTTCTTAATTTTAAGTATATATCTTTCACTGTTTTATTTTTATTGTCAATTGTGTCTATAATTATAAATGTGATGGTTTTAATTTCTTTAAATGGTTCATTGTTACTGTATATAACACTACTGATTTTTGCATGTTGATTTTTATTCTGCAACTTTATTGAAGTCGTTTATCACTCCTCACAGCTCTTAAGAGCTATTTTAAGGGGCTGGGCATTTAGCTCAGCGGCACAGCACCTGCCTGGCAAGCGCAAGGTCTTGAGTTCAAGTCCCGGTACCAGAAAAAAAAAAAAAGGAGCTATTTTAAATATTTTCAGTATATAAAATCATGTAACTTGTGAACAGATTCAATTCTTCATTTCCTATTAGGTTGTATTTATTTATTTCTCATGCCTAACTGCTTGGGACAAACATTCTACTACTATGTCAAAAACAAGTGGTGAGAATGTATATTTGTCTTGATTCTGATCTTAGAGGAAAAGCTTGTCAGCTTTTCACTGTTGAGATCATTAGTTGTAGGCTATTGACATATGACTTTTATTTGTTATCCTCAGGTAAATTCTTTCTATATCAAATCTGTTGGGAGTTTTTTCTTTTATCATGGAAAGATGTTGTATTTTGTGAATGTTTTCTATTTCTATTGAGATAATCACATAGTGTTTAATCAGTTTTCATGCTAACATGATACAGTACTTTTTCTTTCTGTTTTGCCTAAGTTGAAGGATTACATCCCAGTGATAAATTCCACTGCTTTATGCTGAACGATTTTCATGTGTTGTTGAATATGGCTTGTTAGTATTTTGTTGAGAATTTTTGCATTTATGTTCATTTGGAATGAAGGGCTGTAACAGTCTTTTTGCATAGTGTCTCAGCTTGACGTTTGTATTGGAGTAATGCAGGCCTTATAAAATAAATTTGAATGTGTTTTCTTCATTTTTTTTGGAAAACATTAAAGAAGTGTTGATATTAGTTCATCAAACAT